CAACACGATTTCCCCATTTTTTTCGTGTCACACAGAACGATTTTAAAAGCAATGTAAATAATAACAAATTAGAAGGAAAAAATATAGATTTCAGTATTCTGACACAGAATGATTTTAGAAGCAATGTATTTCTATTGGTAGTATGTTTCGTGCCTGCACCAAATAATAACAATTTAGAAGGAAAAAAGATTTATAAAATACAGATTTCAGTATTCTGAGGCTCTGAGCCCCATTTATTTTCCTCGCGGACGGCAAAAAAAGTCAGACATTATACGATTTAAAATAAAAACAATAATCGTGGCTTGATATTGAGTAAGAAAATGTTTTTATGAACCACACAGCTTCCGGTCTTCCAAGACCAGACCGGACAAAAAAGACGTGTTGCAGACAACAAAACACACTACCAATAGAAATACATTGCTTTTAAATCGTTCTGTGTGACACGAAAAAAAGGGGAAAATCGTGTTGGTGAACACGAATCAATAGATTAAATGTTGTGACTATAACACAAAATGCCTTGAGACTGGGTTGTAATAGTTACATAAAGTAGGCCTACCTTTAACCGTAAGTAAAACTAACATTCTGTATTTGATATTTTTACATTTATTGTTAAAGGTGAACCAGGACAACCTGGACCACAAGGCCCTGGAGGACCAAAGGGATCTAAAGGAAGTGGAGGTGAGAAGAGGGATTTTCAAAAAAATTAATGAGATGACAAGATTGTAGGGAAATATATTGTATTATCCTCACCAGCTGAGTTATTCTGTATTCACCAACTACCATGACATTCTATCATGGCTGCCAGAAAAAAGTCCAAGAATATCTAGAGTTGTTCTTGAGGTAGATATTGAGATGTAATCAAGACTCTCCCTATACAGGTGAAGCAGGCTTAAATGGACTTCCTGGTGCTAGAGGACAACCTGGAATTCCTGGAGATGTTGGTCCCAGAGGTACTAGCACACATTTTTATGCACAATTCAACTGAGATCAGAAGGTAAATTGCTAATTTATGACGCACCTAGTTTTTTTATTGGGGTACAAATGACACCTGTTTATGAGAGTCAAGATAAACACTTAAACTAGCACACAGGCAGGCACGCATTCACAACCTTTTTTTTAATCACCACAAGCATAAAAAAGAAATGGCTGCAAAATGTCCTTGCCAACACTCCCGGGAACTAAGAACCTCATCAAACATCCAACTATTGACACAATGTATCTATAAAAGGAAGTTTCATCATGTGATGGAATATAACACTGTCTTTCAGGTGAACCAGGAGCACCTGGTAAAATCATTGCTTCAGGTAAGAACAGCGGCAAAGTAATACTTACTAATTAGACATTCGATTTAAACCTTAGGAAAACTCAAAGTCTTGTAAATTGTTACTGGTCTCTTGCATTTTGTTTCTAGCTGGCTCTAATGCTGTTGCAATCCCAGGACCACCAGGACCTTCCGGACCTCCAGGTCCTGCTGGAACCCATGGTCTGTCTGGTCCCATCGGCCCGGCTGGTCTCCCAGGACGACCCGGTAAATCCAAACTCTCTGCCGATGTTAAGAGTCAAACATTTTTTTCGATGGGTCAAAAGCTGACAGATGGATGGCAGATACATAAAACATGTTGACTTTTATTTTTTTGACGGTACATTGATATCATAATTTAGGAACTAAGGGAGATCAAGGAGATCAAGGAGATAAAGGACATAAGGGAGATAAGGGAGAGCAAGGGAAACCTGGCGAGCCTGGGACTGTCACACGTTCAGAAACCCCCGGAACCGACAGTGAGTATATACGTCTTTAATGTTTTACCTTTGCACTATTTAGTGGGATTATCAAAAATAACAGTGGGATTGGCAGTAATATGGGCACCTTCACCATCTATGTTTTCGTTTCTAACAGAACCTTCCTCAGGTGCTAGCCTGCCTGGCCCACCAGGTCCTCCAGGGCATGCTGGAGCAACTGGTCCTCCAGGTCCTTCTGGTAAGTGAAAGGCTATTTGTAAGATATGAGGGCCTTTCCCAATGATCAGGATTGGTGCTTAGTTGAAATTAATGATTATTCAAATAATGTAACTCTTGTTTAGGTGAGGGTAAACAGGGTCCTCCTGGACGCAGGGGTCCTGCAGGAGAGCCAGGTAAAAAGTGTCTTTCATTAGGCAGACAAACAAATAGATTACTAGATCTTCAGCATAAAGTACAATGTAAACAGTGTTAACATAAAACGTTTTTTTGTGCTTTCTTCCCAGGAGTTGGTCTTCCTGGATCTCCAGGAGATAAAGGAGAGCCGGGCAGTTTTGTTCCTACCTCAGGTTGGTGGAAGAAATCTAATTTCAGATGCTTTATACATCCTAAGACACATGGACATGTGTTATGTTTAGCCCCTACTTTACTAGCTTAGCCTGTTTGATGTGTTCTTTTGTTTGTCTTAGGAACCTTTTTTGCTGGACCACCAGGACCCCCGGGCCCACCAGGTATGTTGGGTAAATGAAATGCTTCTAAAAACAGAAGTCTCTTACAAACATGTTGATAGGACGGCATGTATAATGGATTCACACATATGAAAATGTACAAAACTAATTGGAGAATGAGGCAGGTCTGATATTCTGATTCACAGCAATGTTCTGTTATCGTATCGTTTCTGACTCTAGGTGACCGAGGACCAGAAGGGTTCCAAGGTAAGGAATTAAAAAAGATTGCATGCATAGTCTCTATAAAGTATAGACTTTTAAAACAAACATATCTTAATTTACTGGTGATTATTTCAGGAGAACCAGGTCAACCAGGACTTCCAGGGAGTCCAGGAAGTGCAGGGAAACCAGGTCATGGTATGTGAACAACTTTTGGACCATAGGCTTGTTGAAAAGAAGATGACCAAGAAAGGGTTTGCAAAATAGATGGCAAGCTATAATTCATGCAAAAATGTCCACCTACCATACATTTTCCAGCATTATCAGATACATTTTGTGGCTTTCAAAAACCAGGTGGTGTTCAAACGTTATGAAAATATTCCGTCGGTCAACATTCCTTGTCAAAGCTGTTTAACCTGATGTTAAACTAGTGTTTTGGTTTTCCAGGTCAGCCTGGACCTAAGGGACCTGAGGGTCCACCAGGCCCCGAGGGGCCAGAGGGGATCGATGGAAATAAAGGTACACTAAGCCAAATATTTTAACTATTTTATACATCATACCTCAAATATATTGATCTATAGCATTACCTTTACATTTTCATACATCATGCAGTCATTTGACCTGGAGTTGCAGTTTTTTTTTTTCAATTGCAATTTTTTTCTTGACATTTTATTGTGGATTGGTGTTGTCATCCCAGGACCACCTGGACCACCTGGACTATCTGGACTACCTGGTTCGCCTGGAAGAGATGGAAGTGGACCAACAGATGTGGGTCCGTACCTTGCAGAGTACCTTCAGAGTAAGTTGTCTTCTTGTAAAATAATTGCATTTACTTATCATCTTCATATTGGATGCTTAACTTTTTCACCCCAACTTATCTTGGATGAACTACATCTTAAAGTTCTTTGAAAGCTACTTTGAATAATTAAACCGTGTTAATATTAATATTTTTTTCTTCTTCTTTTTTAGTCTGACATTTTATTTGAGTGATCTTGTTGTCATTTCAGGTAGCTCATTCAGTCCAGGCGCCCCAGGGCCACCTGGACCACCAGGTGCTCCTGGAAGAGATGGAACTGTATCTGGATCACCTGATGTGGGCCAGTACATTGCAGAGTACATTCAGAGTGAGATATTTATTCATGTTACACTAAGATTGTAGGAAACAGAGTGCAACGTCCATTGATCTACATGTGAAACCTTGTGTTGACATGCAGGTGATGGGATCAGGCAGTACCTGGCAGGACCCCCTGGGCTTCCTGGGCCTCCTGGGCCTCCTGGTGGTCCAGGGTCTTCAGGTTATACAGGGGACGGGCTGGTCGATGATGTGGCAAACAGAGTGATAGCCTACGTCCAGAGTATGACCAATTTCATTCAAATGTGACCTCTATTGTCTGTTAACCCACGGTATTTCTAACAGTAGTGAAAACGTATGTAAAATGGTTCTCCTTTCTAGGCCAAGGTAGAGGATATGACAGTAGTCCTGGCCCTCCTGGTCCTCCAGGTCCTCCTGGCTCCATCTCTATCAATGATGTCATCGACGTGTTACAACGTAAGTCTCATTTGAGGGTGGTTTAAATCCCCAATTGTATTGCAGATGGCAGAAATTATTATTTAAATGGCATTCAAGAGGTTTATTACACTGCATATGTGAAGTGGACCTAGTCGGAGTGACTTGAGCTATTAGTTATAAGCCATAAACAGGGAGAACACTAGAGACTTATCAATAATAAGGTAGTCCTGATCTAATGCAGAAGCCTTTTATTGTATACTTTAATCTGGGACCAATATTGACAAATGAACACGCTCTACAAAATAATACGTAAGATGTCACCTATTAGGCAAAATGCATAATCCGCCCACAGCCCTATCGTCCCCTATCAGAAACGTTGCTATCAGAAACAATGCGCGACGTGTTTTCAGTAATATGGTCTGTTTTTACATAAGCAAGCATCGTTAACACTAAGAGAGAACGCTGTACTGGAGAGAATATGTGTAAAGAAGCAGGACATAAAAAGGTACTCACCTTGTGGAAAACCGGCAAGAGAAGAAGCATTTGAGCTCCATACTGTTTTAGAAATAATCCTTGATGTGGTTTGGAACATAATACGGCGTTTAATCACGGCAGCGTTTAGCTGAGTTTCAGCCAAGGATGTATAATAAGAACTGGATACAGCGTCGGGGTCTCGTTCTTTCCTATGAGAGCTGCTCATTGGCGCATAAGGACAAAATGGCCCAACTTTTGAGAGAGCGAAACATCACAGATTACCTGTCATGCCTGGCTGTCAGAGCAGAAGAACCCGTATGTGCGCTTACAAAGCATGCACCCCTTAAGCCCCGCCCCCTGAGCTCCCACTCTCGGCTCACTAGAATGAATGGAGAGAGAAAATAAATCTAGATTCGGCTTTTAGTGCATTTTACAACTTTAAAGGTCCCATGTCATGGCCATTTCTACTGATCATAATTCCATTGTTGAGGTATACTAAAATAGATTTATATTGTGCAATTTTCCAAACTCACATTGGTTTCTCATTCAGCATCTCTGTAAAGTATGTGTATTCAACGGTATTCACTCTCTGTCCTAAACGGCTTGTTGGAGCTCCTGGCCCCCCCCCTCAATGTGAGCCCAGTGTGCTCTGATTGGTCGGGACGTTGCGAGGCT